TAAAATAAAATAAAATAAAATAAAATAAAATAAAATAAAATAAAATAAAGATCGTTAATCACTATTATTAATCCTCACCTTTTGTCCTTCTCTCCACATGTGTTTCATGTAGGCAAACGTCACCTGTGGATAGGTAGTTGGTAGGGGTTGATCAGGGTGTTTTGATGGGTCACTACCCAGTAGCATGACAAGGGTCTTGTGACTGAGCGCCAGACGTCCACTCTTACGGCACAGACTGGAATACTTGAGCCATGACTGCATGTCTTCTTGTGGTGTTAGAACCAAGGACCGTACCTGGAGGATCTTCTGCCAGTCTTCAACTACACGCTGACAGCCCTGTAATAGAGTAGATTTAGTATGACTGTGAAACGTCACGGCACGGAGCTGATAATCTCCAATGAACCAATTGGAAGGCTCGAGATCACTGTTCATCCAATCAAAATGCTTGGACATCGCGGTGACGGCACGGCACGCCAGTACTGAGCGTTTTTGACCCTTTAGGTGAATTTCGTAAAGATAGTGAAACATCACGCAAGTAGTAACGTCACGGCACGGAGCTGATTATTTCCAATGAACCAATCCTTGAGATCCCTGTTCATCCAATCAAAATGTTTGGGCATGCAACCGCCATGGTCATGGCACGGCACGTCAGAAACGAGTGTTTTTGACACTTCGTAAGACACATTACGCGCGCTGTGTCGTCGCGGCACGGAGCTAACGACCTCTATTAACCAATCACAGTGCAAGATCACTCTTTATCCAATCAGAATGCGAGGACAGGGTCACGCTACGATGCGTTCGTAACTGCGAATTCTAACGGGCATAACTTTGCCTAAATATTCAAGAAATATCCATATAGTAATAYTTTGTGTTACCTGTAGTCTGTTCCACCAGGTTCGTTTGATGGATTCACGTCTCTCAGGAATCAACTTGTATTGAATAATCTCTTCTAGTTCTGATAACATCTGGACCGTTACCATGGCCTGATGGGACAGAATGGGTAATATACATCATACTAAAGGCATATTCAAAAACTTTATAATCAATAAATACTCGAGTTTCGAGTTCTCTGTTGCTCAGGGTTAGACTCAAATTTGTGCAGAATATTCCTGTGTTCCAGTGAAGGTCCCTGGAATTTCAAAGTGTTCGTATTGTTGAGCTTGTGCATTCTTTACTTTACCGTTGGAATTTGTGAATATTTAGACAATGATTTGAGGTTAACTCTAAGTAAACGAGTTTGTTATCAAGGAACACAGCGTTAATTTGGAATTCGAAAATGGTATATTGATAATCACTTACCCCATAGGCACGGTTGTAGCTCTCTCCTGCTCTAGCTGTCAGTTCTGTGTCCAGGATGTCACGTGCGGCATCGATACACTGAAACAAACCAACAAGTTTAAAGAGGAAAAAATGGATGGAAAGGGAATGACCGACAAAAACAGAACAGAACAGAACAGAACAGAACAGAACAGAACAGAACAGAACA